TATATATATATATATATATATTATTATTATATATATACTACTACTACTACTACTCTCTCTCTCTCTCTCTCTCTCTCTCTCTCTCTCTCTCTCTCTCTCTCTCTCTCTCTCTGTCTGTCTGTCTTTTTTTATTTCTCTGTATTAAAAAGATATTCTATTAAACGAAAAAAATGAAGAAAACAAAGAATTCGTGCATATGCATACATATATATAATTTGTGCCAATATTATATACAAACAGTTGCACGAAAAGACATTTGCAATTTGCTTTGATTCTACAGAAAATTATTTAATTGAAACGGAACATGGCTGAACTCAACTCATAATAAAAATATAATAAAAAGATAATCACTGATCATATCGTAGCCAAGAATATAAGAAGGATACAAGTATCCGAAATTGTAACTACAAATTACAAATGGCAGTAATGAAATCAAGGCAGAATTCAACCAACCAGGGCGATAGCCTTTTCCTCTTTCCTTTTTGCCTCTTTTCCGTTATTTATTACATTTTCTATATTGCAGTCCAGCTGCTCAGTGGGACCATTATTCTAAAGAGAAAAAAATAAAGGATAGCGAACGAAGCAATTTAACATAAAAATAATGAACCGGGATTTAAAAGAGGAACCCAATGGAATTGATTAAAATTAAATAATTCTCGCATAAAATCTCATTTAAATAATTTACGATTTTCGTATGTACAAAGCGTTCATCTCACGCATTTTTTTCTATAGTTTCTTTCTATAGTTTTATAAGTCTTTCTAAAAATTTCTTTTGTGGCATCGCGTTCTCGCGTCAAAACCAATAATAAAAAAAAAAAACAATAACAATATCAGTAACATTTTGTTCAATTTATTATATTAATTACACTAGCATCACTACGTATGTGCTGTTCAAATGTACTTCGGTAAATGTACTTTATCTATTCTTTTTTCAATCATCGTGCATGGCACTTAGAATTCGAAAAAAAGCAAAAAAAACAATATTCTATTGTTTTTTTTTTTTTTCCATTCTTTGTTTTTGCCCGAAAGTCACTGGATTGATACGTATTAATTAAATTATCCAATAATTTGAAGAACTTATCCATTGATAAAAATAATAAGTGTAAACGTTACACTTCAACACCGAGAACTCTATCGACAACGTATTCGTACCTTCTTGGCTCTTCACCATCATTCGATGTATTTTCATTAGGAACACTATCTGACTGAACGGTCAAATTCGAAACATCTTGAGCACCAAGTTTAGTAACCATATATTCGGTAGTAACTGGCTCCGAAGTGTGTCTCCTATGCTGAATAAATGATGATGATGATAGATTTTCACATATTGAATCTTCGGGTGGAAGTACAGGAACATTGAGATTAACGCGTGTAAAAAACGCCATTTTTTCTCTGAAATTAATTTATAATATTTCCAATAAAAAAATATAATTTAATCAATGCAATATTATAATATTATATAGTTCATAAGAATTAATTTTTTTTATTATGCAAATATTATTATATTAATTAATATCACTAAATTAAAAAAATTGATAGATGTTATAATAAAAGATAAACATTTTAAATATATTAAATAATAAAATATACATACTTGAATGAAATAATATCTGGTTTTCCTTTACCAGCTTTTGTTTTCCGTAATTTATAGATTTCTTTTGAAGTCTTTTTCAACATTTTTTCTACTCTTTTGTCCTCAGCACTTTTGCCATTTTTTCCACTTTCAGCTTGTGCCATTAAATTTTGAAATTTGTGATCCTCCAACAACCATGTTGTAAAGTCGGTATCCCCTTTCTCTCGCGCTTGCTCTAACCTTTGCTTTAATTCACGTAACCTACTTAACTCATCTTGAAGATTATTTAATCTAGCATGTTGTGCTTGAAGATCCAATTCAAGATCTAAAGATGTTCTAGCGGTAGGTGGTAAATTTGTAGATTTTTTTGAGACAGTTTTACAACTGAGTGCAGATAAAGGTCTCCGCCATCTAAGTGATCGTCTTTCGACTGAATTTCGTTGAAAAGGTCCGCCTCTACGATAAAGTGGCATGCTACTATCACTATCGCTACGATTTAACTATAACAAAAAAAATAAAATCGATTAAAAAAATAGAAAAAAAATTTGAAAATATCTTAAAAAAGAATAAAATTTACCCGACAAATATAATGATTTTTGCTGACTGCAGCACTAGGTGAAAACGTTTGACTTCTTTTAATTACAATAGAATTTTTGTCATCGTGAATAGCGCTAGAAACAACACCAGCTGCTGAAAGTTTCCTCTGTTTTCCTTGTTCTGGGATAAAAACACATTCAGTATTGGTTTCTTTATCCTGAGTCTGTCTTGCTTCTTCGTTTAATTCTTCATCTTCCTATAAATTTTATTATAAATAAAATTTACAATTACAAAAGGATCATTTTTATATAAACTAAAGAATTATGGATAAAGTAAAATATTATATAATAATTTAAAATATTATTTACCTCATGCTCCAATACATCCTCCAGAACATTATCTTCCATCGTAAACTCCACAATGATACCTTCCTCATCGCTATCCTCACTTCCGCTTTCGCTACCACCATTTTCATCCTCTTCTTCTGGACTTCCCAAACAATTGGCTAATTCTTCTAGTCTTAACGAAATTGCTGTCTGAAGTTCATCGCATCCCTGATTTCTCGTCAAAGTCGATGTTTGAGAGCTAATGATCGTGCTCTCGTCACTACTTTCTTCTTTCATATTTTGTACACCACGATATACCGATAAATCTGATTCTTGTTTGTCATGTTTGGCCTGCCTCATTACGCTGGTGGAGATACTATTGCTATTGCTGGTGCTAGTACTTGGGCTATCGGATGGTTGCATGAAGCGGAAAGAGAGTATGTTATACCATTTTACACTTGGTGATTCTGGACTAAAGTCTGCAAGAGACACTTGGGCGGATCCCTGAAATAAAGAACATCAAGTATGAATTGGAGAAATGATGAAATATATGAAAAAAAGTTTATTAAAATATTGTAATAATTATTTGATTGACATTTAATCAAAATATTATCGCATATTAATCAAATATTCAATGTAATTTTTTATATCTTATTGTCATCTGTTCTTTCAAAAGAGAGAAATAAAAAGAAATCAGAAGACATGTACCAAGCATTCCTCAGACTCATTGCTCGTGCACCAAACGTTGACTTGTAATGTCTTCGTATATAATTTGTTGAGCGGAACTGCAATCGGGAATGTTTCACCGAAGGTTGGTTTGCGCAGATCCACAACTGGTTTTGTACAACACATGTGATTAACAGGCGGTTGCATTGGAAGCAATGCAGCCTTTATATATCTAAATTTAAACAGAGAAAAGACAACTATTAGTTTTCACAATGTTTAATTTTCATTCAATAATTTATTATAATTTTAAATTTCTTTTCTCTCAATACTTATCATTAAATATGTATTCTTGCTTTGAATATTTTAAAAGAATATCTTGTATAAAAGAATTTTATGGCTAGGAATTTTTCATTCTAGTTAAATAATTTGTAATTTGTAATACAAATTAAATTGAAATTTTTATTAAAACAAGATTTTAATAAAACAATATAATAAAAATCTATTATACGATTAGAAAAATACTTACACTTGCGCGTTGTTAGGAATAAAAAGAGCAGCCAAATTTCTGGCACGTTCAATTCCAACATGGAGCAAACCGTCACTTACAGAATATCTATACAAATAAATTATTTATTTAAGTATATATATATATACTTAAGAAATTGTATGAAATTAGAATTTTTTTAATTAGGATTTGTTAATATCATATTTAATAAAAATTAGATTACACTTTAAAAATCTTTTTCAATAAAATGATTCAAGCCCTGATTATTTCAATAATAAATAATGTGTAATTTTATACATACTTTATCATATTTCATTAAAATGATTATTAAAAAGCAATTTTCTTCAGCATAATCTTAAATAATATTCAAATATTAATAATTCTTTGTATATTGTACGTTTGTATATTATAGAAAAACTATAAATATGTAATTCAATATTCCTTTCTATCATATTTTCATGATTTATATATAATCTATTTAATTCAGTCAGAATCAATTATTATTCATTCATTCACGAAACGAAAATTTCTCAATTCTTGATATATCTTATAAAGCTCTTTTATCAATTACTAAAACAATAAACAAAATTAAAAGCTTAAAACAAACCTAAGTTTAATTTGCACCTGTGCCGTCTCTAAGCTCATCTCCCCCAACGCCAAAGAATTCACGTCATCAATTGCTCCTGGTAGTTTCCTTCGGTTAGAGGCCTCGAATACTCCTGAATCACCTGCAACACTTTCATCGGAAACGGCAGCCGAGACAGATCTGGTATTCGTACCGGAACTGCTAGCTCTCGAACGAATACCGGTGGGAGGAGGTGTTTCGCTGATAGGTGAAAGAGGCGGTGGATCCTGCGAAGGATGCTGCATCACGCATACAGGCCTGCCAAGGCCGCTGCCTTGGGACATATTTCCAGATTGCAATTCGACCGGTGGATGTGGACCACCGACCAACTTGAGACGATCTTGGGAACCAGCACAGGTTTGTTCTTGCGACGACGTTTGCTGTTGACTAAGCCTAAGCTCCGCCAAACGATCTTCCAACTGATTTCCGTCTAAGTGAACGTTAGACGAGGCGGTGAGTCTCTGATGTCGTCTCTGCATCTCCACGTGTTCGTACGCGGGTGGTGGGCCCATCGGGGCATTTTCGTATAAGGGTGAAACCGGTGGACTGACGCTAGACAGGCTCGATCTTGGTGACAAACTTGGTTGCGATCGACCCGGCGATGGTGTGCTCACAAGATTGTTCTGTTCCGAGCCTCTGAGCAATCTCTCCACTCGTCTATGGAGATCAACCATGTCGACCGGTCTGTCTTGTTGAGATGTGACAGGACCAAGGCACTGGGGGCCACCATAAATATCGGTGAAACTCAATCCAGAACTTAGGGAACCTTTACTGCTAGTCGTGCTCAGACTTCCAAGACTGGAACTACTACTGACCGAAAGCGTGCTCGCGCTAAGAGTTTTCAACTGACCCTCGAGCATCGCCATCGAGCGTAAAGCGTCCCTCAATTGCTGTAGTAACAATTGTTTTTCTTCGTGTAGCCGCACGCGATCGGTAATCGTCTTGTTCGACAATTCAAGCGCGTTGTTTAGATCCTGCTCGAGGCGGCGGATCTCGTTCTGGATCTTCTTCATATCTTGTTGCGTTCTGGTACGTGGCGTGATACTTCTTAATTCTCGGAGCAATTGTTCTTTCTCCTGGAAGAGCAGCAATTTGTCCTTGTCGCTTTCCGTCTGGCCAGGAGTTACCTTTTCCTCGAGATCCGCTAATTGTTGTTGAATGTGCTGTATCCTCTTTCTCGCCTCGTCATATTGCAACCTCATCCGAGCCATTTCGGCCAAACGCGTGCCGATAGGCACTAATTCGCCGGATAAATCGGTCTGAGATGCCGTGCTAAGTTTTTCCTGAGGTAAACTGAGCGTGCTGGCCTCGGGACTACCTTCGCAAAGCTGCAATCTCGTCAATTCATCCTTCAATTGAGCTAAAGACTGCATCAGCTCAGCTTTCTCCTTTTCGCCCGAGCTCAGCGATTTTTGAATATTTCGAAGCTCTGTCATAATCGCCTGAGCCTCCGTGATGTTGTAACAACCGCCATGATGACCACTCAATTTTTGCTCAACACTGCATTAGAAATAAGAAGAAAAATTAAAAATTTGATTTTTTTTTTTACAATTATGATTTTAATTATAATTTTTACCGATATAATACGAATTATTTCTTTTATTTTATTATAATGTAGAAGGAGAGATATTAAATGAATTTTAAACGAATCTCACATGAAAAATTTTATTCTTTAAAATTCAAATTAATATACTTCATGTTCATTTTGCAAACCAATTAATACAAATAAACTCTTTTCTTGTAAAAATATTTTAAAATATTAATTTTAAAATATTTTCTCTTCTCTGTATTATTAAATTTTTTCAAACATTTCAAAAATTGTGTTAAATCATGTAATAAGACAGTGTAAAAGAAAAGGAAATTCATAATTATTATTGTTATAAATATACATAATATTGTTATAAATTTAAAAATGAAAAAATGCATCTATCCACATGATCATATCGATCAACAACGTTCAATTTTTATCGTTGATCTCGTTATCTATAATTTTAAGGATCGAGTGCTTAGAATTCGTTCATTTGCTTCGTCACACTCACAAAAGATATATATTCTTCTTGTTCAGCTACCCTTTAAAGGTGAATCTCAAAATAAGACAATGACATACCTTGCAAGAGTGTCCACTCCTCGTTGTGTGCAGTTCATTTCAGCTCGGATCTGTTCGAGCTCTCGTTTCAGGCGGGAAACTCTACTCCTTGCGAGTGCGACATCGGATTTCAAGAGATCCGGATCGTACTTGGTACTCAATGAACTTGAACTGGAGCACACTATAGGTAAGATAAATCATTATTGTCTCGTTTGATTTATTACACGTTTAAAATATATTTTTCATCGATTCTTTGTAACTCATCATTATAATTTGAATTATAACAAAATGAAAACGAAATATTTTCGAATAAATATTTTATCTCGATAATTCGAGTTTCGTATAAAAATAAAATTCGCATAAAGATAGAATAAATATTTTTATATCCAGAAAATATCGAAAGATTAATAAAATGTGTGAGATTTGCCAAAGATTGAACGCGATAACACGGCAATAATTGTTTTTAACGTGATACTATCTAGATGAATAATTACTTTGCACAGTAAATTAGATACTTTGAATGGTAAAAAAAAATAAATACCGCTAATATCAAGGTGTACTTACAACTTGTACGCGAAGCGCCAAGCGTCGTTAAAGCGTTGTTAAGGTGATTGTACTCATCTTGGGCCAGACATAGCCTCTGTTGTTTCACATCGTAGATCTCCTTCTTCGCCTGTAATACAGATGGAAAAAACATCGTCGAAATGAAAATTCATTATCTTTTCAAAAGAAAACACGTTAAAAATTTATATATAAATATTTATACATTACAAAACGAATTTGCATTCGTATTAAAATATTCATTTGATCTTTTAAACGATTTATTTCATAGTAACGCTTTACCTCAATGTATAGACGTTTGCGTTAAAAATAATTCATATTAATAAATTAAAACTTATCTAATTTTTGTTAATGCCAATTAATTGGATCGAAAAATGACTCAGTCATCGAACCATGAGAGTTAAAGATACATTGTGGATAAAATTATTGAAATCAATGGTAATTACTTCATATATAGAAAGATTCAATTTTCGCGCGTATACAATGTATATAAAGAATACTTATTAGAAAGAATTTTCCGATTGTAAATAACATTTGGAATTTGGAATAGCACGTCGTTTACATTTTCACGTCGATCACGCTTAGTCGAAATCCGATAGAAGCCACGCAACATCACGTACCAGCATTCTTTCGGTTTTCAGACAAGGAAATACCATTACACATGATTTATGTAGCGCTACGAGTGCCGAACGATCCCTTCATCACCTCAAATTCTTCCATAGTTGGCCGTCGTAAAACGAAATAAGAGGGAAATAAAATAACGTACGACGGAAAAAAAAAAAACATTTTAAATTTACAGAATCCCGTGAAATTTTGCACTTTCCCCACTCTATTCTTAAATAAATTTTTCAAACAAGCTTTGAACTACTTCTAATTATCATTCGACTTCGGAATGAAAAATCATTCAACGTCGACATGCGAATGGAAGCCAAGAAAACAAAAAGGAATGATTCGAAATTGAAACACGAGATTACAAAAAGATAGAGATATTTTCAACGACACGTTCGCAACGAAATATTAGATCCGATAAATACAAAAGAGAAAACACCGACAGAATCCGCGTTGATAATACACCATAGAAATTTCACTTCGACAGATTTAAAACGATTCGAATAATGCACAAGGCACAAAATAATCCTGGAAAAGTCCTTACATATTCACAGTAATAGTATGCAGTGGCGTCGGTATCTTCACGTCTATAGCATTGCTCCCAGTAAAACCTCTGTATCTGCTCGTCATTTTCATAATCGTTATGATAGCACATTCTCATTCGATATTGAGATACGACGTTCTCGTAAATTTGTTCCTGTTGATAAGGCTGCTTGCACGAACGTTGTTGTTCGGAATATTGTTGACGTTGATGTTGTTGTAACCGTTGATGCGCCTGTTGATGGTAATTGTTCACGTAGGTGCGGTATTGGTGCGCTGGTACGAGTACGCAGAGTGTGTACTGACGGTCCATGCCGGGTACACAGTAGACTAGGCACGATTCTTCTTCTTCTTCTTCTCTTCTTCTTCTTCTTCTTCTTCTCCTTTTTCTTCCTCTTCTTCTTCGTTGTAGTCGTGATCGTTGTCGCTTCTTTCTTCTTCTATATACTTCTTCCTTTCCTTCTCCTTCTGGTCTCGGCGTCTTTCTCTTCTTCTTCTTCTTCTTCTTCTTCTTCTTCTTCTTCTTCTCCTTCTTTTTCTTCTCCTTCTTCTTCTTCTAACCCGTCGAACGTCTATCTTCTCTTCTCTTCACCTCATCTTCGCGAAGGCCTTCTCGAGACTGGCCGGTTTACGGGGCCCGAAATTCCGATCCCCACCTCTGTGGGTCTCAATTTTTAAGGGATCCCACCTTTTTTCCTCCTTTTTGCCTTCTCTTCCTTCGTTCTTGCACCACCCGGTCGATTCTCTCCTTCCCTTCTCGTTTCCATCCTGCTTTTACCTACCACCCTTCCCCCTACCATCCTATCCCACATCCTTTCTTTTTACTCTTCTATTTCTCTCTCTTTCTCTCTTGTTCGCTCGCTCCCTCTCTCCTTCTTCCGTTTAATCCTTCGATCTTTGCCTCTGTCTTGCTTGCTTACACACACTCGCGGACTCTATCTCTCTCAATCTTATATAGACCTTCTTTCCTCTTCTCTCTTTCCATCTACTCTTTCCATAGTATTTTCATTTATCTCGCTTCAACCACGGTGGCCTCAAGCGGTTCTTTCTTATCCGGTGTAAAAAGGCGGGCCTCATCCTGAGGCCTGGCAGGACCGTCGCAATCGAGCCCTTGCGCTGCCCCTTGCTCCCCACCCACCACTCGCTTTTCCTATTCTCCCTCTCTATCCAATACTGTCTCTAAATCCCTTCTTCGTCCTTCCTACCTTGCTTTTTTCCTTTCGGATATTATACATTTCACGTAAACATTTTCGTGAATCTAATTGATAGTAGAACGTACGTACGTACGTACGCTACGTTTTACTCGCGCATCATGAATATTTATGACATTACATGTTGAAATTTTGCTCCTCCTTTTTAACCTTCCCGCCACGTTTAATCTTCTTTGATTCTCGAATCGATGGAAATTCCATTGAAATGAATTTTTTTACTGGCCAAAGTTATCCTGACCTAAATTTCTCTAAAATGAAAAAACATTTTTTTTTTACCCATCGACAGATATTTTGCATCAACAGGAACATCATGTCCGATGAAGAGGAACCATCAGAATACATCAGAGTATTATTCGAGTCTATCCGTGGGGAGTGTAAATTTTTTTCAGCTCAACGATCATAATGGTATGCAGGGGCTCTATATGCAGGGCGCTGCGGGGCAAACGCACGATCCTGTTGCTGGCGGAGCCCAGCCTGTAAGGGACGACAGCAGGGACGGAGTAGGGGGTTTGTGAAATGGGAGGAGAGGGGAAGGAAGACCTGACGAGGTCACGGTACGACCCTGCTGAACGTGGTCCCATCTCGGACTCTCTGGTCGGTAGTAGAACCGACCTTGAGTCGCGCATTATGCCCCGTCCTTGTTGGAATTTCTGGGGCCACTACTGGCCCATCAGCCGTGTCTCTGATCATCTAAGAACAGGCCCGGTGGACCTTGGTATATGTCCCCTCTCCATCAAAAGGTCCGTTCTGTACCAGTAGTGATGGGACCAATTTCCCTTCCTTTGTATATCTTATCAATCTTTTTCTCCACTATTCTACTCTTTTAAAATATTAATCTAATATCTGATTGAATTATACACAAAAATTAATTAATAATTAAATATATTTTCCTCTATTTTTATTCGAAATTGTTTTCTACATAATACCATATATATTATTATATTGGCGATTTAAATGTTTGTATTAAATTAATTTATTTAACGCAAAAGTTACATTTAAAAAAAATATCTCGACACGATCCAATTCCATTTATTAGAAAATTTATATGTATATCTATATTATATTATATTATAGCGGATTGATATTCGTATTTTTTAAATAACTTCGATATAAAAATGAATAAACAGAATTTAGAAAATATTATATAATTTACAATCGAAGAGAAAATCGGAAGGATAAATTGTTTGGAAATGACAAGTACCGGATCGATTCCATCACTACAAAGCGGAGAATTTCATCCCACCAAGCGGACTTTACCTCCGTACACCACCTCACCACTCCAAAACCACCGAAGGATTCACGAGGCTCGGACTCCGCGCGCATATTTCTCGGTCCACACTATTATTGTCGGAGGCTCCACAGATGCTATCGAATACGAGCCGGTTCGCTCGCCTCGCGGAAAGAGCCTCTTATTTTTCCCCTCCTTCTCCTCCCATTCTCCTTCGCTCGTTCTCCACCTCCACGAGGCGAAGCTCTTCTTACTTCGATCCTTGCATCTCCCTAACGTATCTATCATTCCTTTTTTTCTCCATGTAAAAGATCGAAGCAAGTCGCTTCCTCCTCATCCTTCCTTACCACATCCCGAAATCTCTTCCGCTTTATCCGGCTTTTTATGCCACGCACAGCCGGTAGATATGTCCGTCGTGATGTCACGCGGCAATCTTATTTCGTTCCGAACAAATTCCAGTTAGAGAGTTAGACGGTCCATCAATCGATTGGAATGTCTCCCTTCTGACGTGTGTTATCGATCTATTATGAAGCTAAGCTATTGCTCCCTGTGAGAGAGTCATTTGTCATTCTACGAACAGAGGTCAACAGCCATTTATCATTAAATTTACCGATGTATGCATAGAAGTACCTACTTGTATACTTGTATTCTCTATAGCGATTATTTTTAGTATTATCTTATTTTTTATTTTTTATCATTTTTTAATTTAAATATGTGTGTAAATAATTCGTTTTTGATGAATGAATTTTTTCTTTTTCTTCTTTTTTATATCGAGCTTACAATGTTTGAGAAATATTTTAGTTTATTATATATTCTGTCCTTATTTCTTTATCGTACTTAATTTCTTCAAGTTGTTTTCAAAGTCTTGCTGGTTATTTTTATTTATTAAGAATAAAATGGATAAAATGAGTTCAACTTCAATTTTTTTCAACATCTTTTTTACATATTTTCTAAGTTCTCATTTTGTAATTTTTTAGCATCCTGTATAGTATTGTGTATTTTTAAAATAGAATTTTCAATATAATCTATTTCATTTGTTGTGCATCTGAAAAATTCTAACGTAAATTGATAAACAACAAAATAAAAATAAATGTATACTTATTTAAGAAAGTAGCAAAGAATGAAATAGCAACATACGAAACACGAAATATGCAGTAATATTCAGTGTATCATTAAGGAATTCCTCTTCGAGAAATATTGGTAAGGAATGTCTGTATGGTAAAAGGAGATCTTCGACCATAAGGGTCAATCTGTAAAGGTCGTATGCATTTTAAAGAAAGATTCACCATTTACAATGATAACTTTTGTGAAACAACTTCAATTTAGTGCATAAAAAAAATTTTCTGATTCTCTGATTTTCAAATTGCAAAAATGAGTTTATCTCTTTTTCTATAATTATTAATATTGACATATAATAAATACTTCGAAAAATATATACAATATTTCCAAATGAATTTTTCATTCGGACATCACGAATCACAATATTTGTATTCTGAATTAACAAAATTTATCTAGAAATTTATTTATAAAATCCTATAATATTTGAAAGAATAAATATGTATATTTATTTTCATTTATTTAAAAAAAATCTCTTTCCTTTTATTCATAACAAACCTAATTTTAATAATATTCGTAACGAAAGAAAGATTTCAGAAAGTGTCACATGAAAAGGAGAACCTAACCTATCTTAATCTAATACACGTTAATAATTTATCGTTGCATATGCACAATGTGTTACGTAATATTTCGTTTAAAAATGTTTTATAGCTATTTTTATAGACATGTTATAACAAATTAATATGAATTCATTAATTATATATTAAAATTACCATAAATGTAATTACATCTTTTCATCATGATCTTAAAATTAAATATTATAAAATAAAATAAAAAAATAAAAAAAACTTTACTTTGCAATCGAAAAATCACAATACCATTAAATTTCTATGGAAATTCATAATATAATATCATCAATATTATTACTGAAAAATTCAAAAACTTGATATTTACGGTTATTATTATTGTCACTGAGATAGTGATATTTGTTGGTATTACTGCATCACTAGGTTTTCCTGTTGCTGCGTGGTTGGGACGATGGTTGTGTGTAACAGAGTGCAAATAACGACGACCATGCGCGCGTGTAGTAGTGGTGAGATGGCGGAGGAGGAAGAGCGATTGGAATGCAGCCGAGTGAGGAATTCCGGCCCCTCCCGCATATTTATCTGAACGCTGCTCACCGGTCCGCGGGGCCCCGCTCCGAGCGAAGGGCCTCTTTTATAGTACGGCAACTACTCTTCGTCGCTCATACCAACGGAGAAACGAAAGAGGGATAGATAGCAGCAGCCGCACGAAGTATCGGGCCACTATGCGTACAGATCTCAGGAATGCCCACGGTGTTTTGTAATTGGGCGCATGCGTGGCATTTTCTCCTGAATACGCAACCGCGTTAAATTTCGAAGATAACGTTTTCTGGCCAATATTAACAACATGGATGCATGGACTGTTCTTTTCGAGAATTTTTTAAAATAATTTATGAAGTAAATTACTGAGAGTAGAATAACGTTTTCGATGTATTTTTAGAGATTTTAAAATGGAATGACATAGATAAATGATATGGACATATTCAATTCGAGGAAGTGGAATTTGTGATAATTTCTCCAAGGAAACGGTGTCTCCACAAATTTAACGAGTATGTTTCTTTTCTGGAAAAACTTTTCTAAATATATGTAATGATCGCTGTATTACATTTAATTTTGATTTTTTTTAATTGTATTTTTATTGAAAATTAAAATAAGAATAATCTTTGAATTTTGGAAATACTCAGAATGGAATATTTATAAAATTGAATTCAACCTAAATTTTTTAAAATTAATTTTAAAAAATAAATAACTGTACAAAAAAAATGATTGGAATATTAGAGGATCTTTCTTTTTCTTTATATTTAATTTTTTAAATATGAAGATGAAATTTCATATTATACGTCATATTTAATGTTTGCTATAAAAATAATTATATCATATTTTATGATCATAAAAAATATTCACCTATACGTTTCACATTAAGAATTCTCAATTTATTTATTTATTTTATTTTTTTTTAATAAATTCACAAAAGAAGTCCGGTAATCAATAATTTAATTCAAATTTAGATATGGTAGCTAATATGGAGAGAAAAGAATCAGCAATAAGCAGACTGACGGAGAAAAGCATTTCTTCGGCCGGACAGCTGTTGCCGAACAAAGGCCGAAGGATACAAAAGAGGAATTTCTTGGGCCGCACGTGGCTCCCGAGAGAAAGAGAGAAGGGAAGGGAGAAGAAAAAGGAGGATTCACAGCTAATGCAAGGGACCGACTATATACACGTGACCTGCTGCACCCTTTCGGACATTCCTCCCCTTTCGTCAATTTCCTCTTTTCCTAATTTCAATCATCTTTCATTTCTCTTTTCTGATTATTTTTTTCTTCCTTTTTTTTTTATTAATCTCATAAATGAAACTGTAATTTGAAGAATTATCTAGCAGAAAAAAGTGAAAAAAATGCAAAATCTAATTATTCTTGTTTAATAGAATCTTCCTTGATAAAAATATAAATATTCATTTTCATTATTTGACGAAATGTAATTGTATTTATAAGTTTCAATCTCCAAGACTGTGAACCAACTTTCCACCCATAAAAAGTAGATTTATATATTTTACATCTGTTTCAAAGTTGTTTTATTTTAGATAACATTAGATATAGTCATTTTAATTATATTCCTACATTTAGAAGAATGTAATTTTCTAAAAAATTAATATTTAAATATTTATCAAATACGATCAAATGATTTTGATATATATCTGAGATATTTTTAATTTATATATATTTAATGTAATTTTATTTTTTGAATCAATTTTTTTTTTTCCTTTCTTTGATAATTCTCAATGAATTAGCATAATGACAAGCGTTAATAATGTATTTTCGGAATATTAAAAAGAATCATTGACTTAACGAATTCATAAATATGTATAAATGTCTAAATAAATATACACCCACGTGTATAATTTATTTATTTATCATATTATAAATTACAATATTAAATTATAATCTTGTACTTTAATGTAATTTTTTTCATTTCGATTTCGATATTATTTTTAAAGCAGTAAATAGCTTGTTAATTAATTATATTATATATATTATATATTGTATAATATTGAACAATATTTTTATTTTAGATCAAATATAAAATTTAAATTCATAAGATTATTATCAACAATTAATGAATGTAATGAATCTTTATTATTTTAATTAAATATAATTCGATTTTAAAATATTAATATTTTTAATTGAAATGAAAATAAATGAAAATTCTGAAAATTTAATAAGATCAAAATTGAATAAGAATATATATAATGTATTTATATATTTTATAAATTTTACATATATTTAAAATAAACGAAAATAATATAACTGTAAGAATTTTAGAATTATTATTCTTTATGGATAAATTATGATTCATTGCATTCGCGAATACTCAACGACAAATAATGCGATTGGAATATGTAATACATTCTCATGAATTTTGAAATAATATGCGAATAAAAAATAAATAAAAATAAATTATTTTTAAATTATATTTTAACATTGTAGAGTTTTCGAAGCAAAGCAGAAAAGAACGAACAAAATTTTAGTCTTACAAAAATTTTCGAGTTACAGAAATTTGATTATATTTCTTGCTATAAAGGTTGAACTACTCAGAAATATGTAAGATCTTGAAATCTCCTAACATATAACACATAACATTAAGATAAATCTCTCCTTTGAGTCAAGATATCATTCTTTTAATGCTACTATACAATCAGCCACAATATTCATACATTATAAAATATATTAAATATAATACTAAAAAGAGAAAAAAAATAATTGCACATCTCTTTCTTTATCTTAAAATAAAAACACAATGGATTCAACGATAATTCATCAAACAATTAACACTCGAACAAATAATCAATTGCGTTATAATCATGAAGATATTCTTTGATTAAAAGAAGTGGCTCATCAAAGGATAAATCCATAAATCCAATCAAATCGTGCGAATTGGCGTGTGAAATAAGATTTATTTTTATATTTGGTAGATATCGCGATAATCAAATGATTGATACCGACGCGATCTCCGTTTCAAGCTATATTTATATGATTTCAATTGTATGCATCATGTACATATATTGCATATAATGAATTGAAAAAAATATTATGAAATATGTTTTGTAATGCTTGATTGATTTTAATAAATATTTTATAAAATTATTTTTCTTTCAACTATATATTATTTGAAATAAATAATATAAGAATTAAATGACAAAAAATATGTTCTTAGCAATATTATTATTTTTTATATAGAAATAATTTTCAATTTAGATTTATTATAATCATATAGCTATTTTATTTATCTCCATTTCCATTATTTATACTAATTCAAATACATGTCAATTTTATTATTTCATAATAATGAATATTAGTGATATTTTTTCCTCTATTTTTAACGAGTTTTTTAGTATATAAAATAAGAAAAAATGGAATAGACAACAATATTATGCATCTTGTTTGTTAGGTACATGTTTGTATATATTTTTATCGTATATTTATCTTTCTTTATATTTATTACATTTTCAACATTATTGTAATAAATATAATTTTTTTCGCACCCTTTTAAAAATGAAAAGATATACTATTAATAATTTATGCATAGTATATAAGTATTGTATGCAACGATTATTAAATTCCAATAAGTTTGTAAAAAGAAAGAATTTATCAAATAAATAAATCATAAATCATGTATAAATAATAAGAAGGAAGGTATATCTGTACAATGATATTTGACACCGTTACCTTATCATTAAAATATAAGAATTCTTCGTGGAGAAAGTTTGAATATATTTACTATTTGTTATAGTTGTGATACACTAAATGGTGAACATATAAAAATGTTACAAATATAATTTACAAATATATCGCATTCAAAATGTATTCAAATGAAAAAACGCGATATAATTGATATTATATATATATTATAGATTTTCTTTTTTTTTTTTTTTGCAATAATTTTTTGTATAAAAATATTATTTAAATTATTACATGATCTAACTTATTTTTAATTCGTATGTAATACGAACAACACTGAAAAGTATATACAGCTTCTCAAAGTTATAGTCAATTTATATTTACTTTTAATCTGGCAAAAATAAAAAGATATAGAAGAACATCACTTAACCTGATATTTTATATAATAAGAAAGATATAAAATATATTAAAAATAATATTATAAAAAAAAATACATTATTTTATGTTATAAAAAAATACATGTAATTTAAAATCCATAATCTTCAATAAGTATCGAAGTTTTATTAAGAATAAAAGGTATTTTATGACTTGAGAGGGAGCATAATATACGTAATACATGCCATTTACGTCACCGAGGCCTAAAAATCTAATTATAAAATAGGAAAAAAACGCCATTACCGACGAAATCGGTGCAATCGAGACCGAACTGCACCGCTCTCTCTCGAGATAAGTTTTCTCGGAGAGCCGTTTTCCAACAGTTGCAGAAGGAATGTACACCAGGTGAAGCCTGCATGACGATCGGCCGCGTAAAGGTGCGTTCACATTCAGTAATCGGTCGGGTCGTGTCAGTTTGCGTTCCAACGATGCGCGCAACGCGATGGAACAAGCCTGCGCATACGCGCGTCTGACTACGGAGAGGGAAGTAAAAGGAGTGGGGAGCGAGAGAGCGGGTAGGCTGCGGTGGCGAACGAGCGATGCTGATATGAATGGAATGCGATGCCATTATCGTGGTGTATATACCGATAACTCGATGCCCCGTTCAGCGAACGAAGGTGCTTGTACGGACCAAGCAAAATCTCTTAACTTTCCAACAATCCTATCTTTTTGTATAAATGCATCTTCCATATGTTTTTTCTTTTTCGAATTTAACAGACTCGCGAAATTAAAATTTGAAAATCATACGATCGAAACTATCCTGAAACTATTTTATAAAATAAAAGAGGATACCAAAAAATATAATATAAAGCATATATAAAATATAATTATATTTAATATATGTCTATTAAATGTATAAAAAAGTATAGATTTTCTTTATTTTTGTATCAACTTTATTATCAATAGATTTTATACATGATTTAAATTTTTCTATCATTCATGCATTCCGGTCATTCATTCCACTTAATCATTCCACATATTCATTCGTGTTTGTCGCTTTCACCAACGTTTCAATGGGGCCATTGGACAGTTGTCCAGTGAATATAATCTACATAATCTTCAATATTGGCATTATACAGTCTTTCATCGTCAAATTTTTCCAAGTTTTGATTTTATTTCAATATTTTTTATTAATGTTTTAGAATGTTAATTCAAAGAAATATTTTCTCTGTCGTGTCATTTTAATTGTCACAATCAGTAATTTCAATTAGATTATGCAGTTCTAATATTATTTTAATTATATGTATATATATATATATATATATCAATAGTTATATTCTAAAACAATGTTTTATATATATATATATATATATATATATTGTGGGAATATCTAAAATATATCTAAAATATAAAATTTTATAAATAAATTAAATTAAACAATTAAATCATATCATTGTTGCAACGAGATATAATATTTTGTTTATTTCTTTTTTGATTAATGTATGATTTGTTGAGTAAAATATGTTATATGAATTCGTCTTCTTAACTATATTTCTATTATGATGATCTGTGTTTATATTTCTTATATTGAATAGTTTTTTCCTTGTATTGAATTTCATCTTTTTATGCTCCTTCTCATTTGATATTGTATATATATATATATATAATAGACATATAATAATGAAAATAATTGAATGTTAAATGAAAATAATGTTTTGTGTGCTTTCTAATATATATCTTATGTTATTAAAAAATTGTTTGGGTTCCTTTTCTTATAGTCCCATAATATTATTTTTATATTCATTTCTTCCATCACTTTATTTTATTTATTTGTATTTTTCTTTTTTTTTCCTTCTATTCTCACACCGAATATTAACTTTGTGAGTGATCAATAAATTCAATCTTAAGTAGAATTAATTTTTGCCAATAGCATCTGTAGCACTATTGAATTTTTAGTAAATATACGAACAATAAATTTTTGAAATCCATATTACCTTTAAAATTATAAAAAAGAGAAAGAAAAGAAGAAAAAGGAAAAAAATAAGAAGAAAAAAAAGAAT